TGGTTGACATGATGGTGTGGCTGACATGATGGTGTGACTGCTACAAAATGTTTTGTAACCGTGACCTTGGCCATTGTCCGTAACTCAGATTTCTGACTAAATTTCCTTTGATAATTTCAATCCAATCACATCACCATGCCGTCTCTTTTCGAAAGTGTAATTTAACCCGCAAAAAGGATAGAAACATATATCCCCCATGTATAGCTCACTATAAAGTGGACATCCTTTGCGCTTATAAAGTGGGTTTCCGGTCGCCACTTTATATACCGACAATGGGGGATAAAGCCGTGTTTTGCGCGAGAAACATGCCCTTGGACCTGGAAGATGACTTTATTAGAACGTTGGCTTTCCAGTTTATACCCGGCTGGTTTCCCACAAGGAAACGACTCAATATATGCGGCAATGCATTTTATAGACCGTTGGTTCCCTTCAAAGAATGGCCATAATATGTCACACCATCCACTTTATAGAAACATGTCTCCCCAATTATTTCGGGCCAATATTTTTCTGTTGGGGCTGTATACATGGCAAAGCACTTTATAGAGTGAAACTTGCCCTTTAAGAAGAAGAATTTGTGCTGCATCCAGGGCACTTTATAGAAAGAAAATTGCGGCAGAGCATTTTATAGAGTCATGAGATACATCATCCAAGTCACTTTATAGAGCTGCCCAGGACCCATTCACCCTGAGGACCCCTTTCAAGGGAAATCTTCTTCTCTATAAAGTGGCCAGTCCAGGTAAAACCCCTGAAAAAACAGAATCTATGTTGGACTGGCCACTTTATACCCCCTCCCCCAACAGAGAATGCCTCTATAAAGTGGCCAGTCCAGGTAAAACCCCCGAAAAAACAGAATCTATGTTGGACTGGTCACTTTATACCACCTCCCCCAACAGAGAATGCCTCTATAGAGTGGCCAGTCCAGGTAAAACCCCTGAAAAAAAAGAATCTATGTTGGACTGGCCACTTTATACCCGGGTCAAAGTCCTGGAGCCGACTGGCTGGGGTATAAAGTGGCCAGTCCAACATAGATTCTGTTTTTTCAGGTGTTTTACCTGGACTGGCCACTTTATAGAGGCATTCTCTGTTGGGGGAGGGGGTATAAAGTGGCCAGTCCAACATAGATTCTTTTTTTTCAGGTGTTTTACCTGGACTGGCCACTTTATAGAGGCATTCTCTGTTGGGGGAGGGGGTATAAAGTGGCCAGTCCAACATAGATTCTGTTTTTTCAGGGGTTTTACCTGGACTGGCCACTTTATAGAGGCATTCTCTGTTGGGGGAGGTGGTATAAAGTGGCCAGTCCAACATAGATTCTGTTTTTTCAGGTGTTTTACCTGGACTGGCCACTTTATAGAGGCATTCTCTGTTGGGGGAGAGGGTATAAAGTGGCCAGTCCAACATAGATTCTGTTTTTTCAGGGTTTTACCTGGACTGGCCACTTTATAGAGGCATTCTCTGTTGGGGGAGGGGGTATAAAGTGGCCAGTCCAACATAGATTCTGTTTTTTCGGGGGTTTTACCTGGACTGGCCACTTTATAGAGGCATTCTCTGTTGGGGGAGGGGGTATAAAGTGGCCAGTCCAACATAGATTCTGTTTTTTCAGGGGTTTTACCTGGACTGGCCACTTTATAGAGGCATTCTCTGTTGGGGGAGGGGGTATAAAGTGGCCAGTCCAAACATAGATTCTGTTTTTTCAGGGGTTTACCTGGACTGGCCACTTTATAGAGGCATTCTCTGTTGGGGGAGGGGGTATAAAGTGGCCAGTCCAACATAGATTCTGTTTTTTCAGGGGTTTTACCTGGACTGGCCACTTTATAGAGGCATTCTCTGTTGGGGGAGGGGGTATAAAGTGGCCAGTCCAACATAGATTCTTTTTTTTCAGGGGTTTTACCTGGACTGGCCACTTTATAGAGGCATTCTCTGTTGGGGGAGGGGAAACGGAAGGACTGACAACAAGGTAAAGGGGGAAAACTACAACGGAGAGGTACAATGGGAAGGCTACCACAAGAAAATGAGACATGTCACGTTTATATACGTTTATTGTTTTCAATGTGTCATATAGATTGGCGATGATTGGTATATTGAATATGTTGTAGATGTACTTTGGAACATATGTATACCTATGATTCACACATCAATATCAATATATATATATATATAAATCATAAACACATGCCAAACCAAAAACTTTTAGCTGAGTATTGTATTCCCAATCTGTTGGCAAATGTCCAGCCGATTCACCATGCGTGACCCAACAAGATTCAAACTATGGATTGTTTACTTTCGAAACAAAAATTACTGGGTGAATCTACGTATATCTATGACGACAATCTCCCAAAATCATCCTAAAAATCTATGGACATCTATGGACCAAAACCACGGCCACATGCCCATCCTCTATAAAATGGTTTGCAAGAAAGTTCAGCTCTATAAAGTGGCTTGATCACGTCATTTCTGGCAGCCCCACCCTCTGTATAAACTGGCCGGTCCATGCCCATCCTCTATAAAATTGTTTGCAAGAACCAGTAAAAAAATATTTTCGAAAGTAAACAATCCATAGTTTGAATCTTGTTGGGTCACGCATGGTGAATCGGCTGGACATTTGCCAGCAGATTGGGAATACAATACTCAGCTAAAAGTTTTTGGTTTGGCATGTGTTTATGATTTATATATATATTTATATTGATGTGTGAATCATAGGTATACATATGTTCCAAAATACATCTACAACATATTCAATATACCAATCATCGCCAATCTATATGACACATTGAAAACAATAAACGTATATAAACGTGACATGTCTCATTTTCTTGTGGTAGCCTTCCCGTTGTACCTCTCCGTTGTAGTTTTCCCCTTTTACCTTGTTGTCAGCCCTTCCGTTTCCGGGTCAAAGTCCTGGAGCCCACTGGCTGGGGTATAAAGTGGCCATTCCAGGTAAAAATGTGTTTTTTCAGGGGTTTTACCTGGACTGGCCACTTTATAGAGGCATTCTCTGTTGGGGGAGGGGGTATAAAGTGGCCATTCCAGGAAAAAATGTGTTTTTTCAGGGGTTTTACCTGGACTGGCAACTTTATAGAGGCATTCTCTGTTGGGGAGGGGGTATAAAGTGGCCAGTCCAACATAGATTCTGTTTTTTCAGGGGTTTTACTTGGACTGGCTGGCCACTTTATAGAGGCATTCTCTGTTGGGGGAGGGGGTATAAAGTGGCCAGTCCAACATAGATTCTTTTTTTTCAGGGGTTTTACCTGGACTGGCCACTTTATAGAGGCATTCTCTGTTGGAGGAGGGGGTATAAAGTGGCCAGTCCAACAGATTCTTTTTTTTCAGTGGTTTTACCTGGGCTGGCCACTTTATAGATGCATTCTCTGTTGGGGGAGGGGGTATAAAGTGGCCAGTCCAACATAGATTCTGTTTTTTCAGGGGTTTTACCTGGACTGGCCACTTTATAGAGGCATTCTCTGTTGGGGGAGGAGGTATAAAGTGGCCAGTCCAACATAGATTCTGTTTTTTCAGGGGTTTTATCTGGACTGGCCACTTTATAGAGGCATTCTCTGTTGGGGGAGGGGGTATAAAGTGGCCAGTCCAACATAGATTCTTTTTTTTCAGGGGTTTTACCTGGACTGGCCACTTTATAGAGGCATTCTCTGTTGGGGGAGGGGGTATAAAGTGGCCAGTCCAACATAGATTCTGTTTTTTCATCCCCCACTAATGTACCTTTATAGAATGAGTTTGTGGTCGTTTATGGAATGCAGTTTTGGGTATCATTCTATAAACCCAGATTTGGGGGGAATCGATCGGACCGGCTGGAACAAGCAAGTACATGAACCCTCCCTACTCATTCTATAAAACCAAGGTTTTGCAACCCTTTAACTCATTCCATAAAAGCCAAAATGCTCCAAAAAATGAATGTTAAATCGAAGTTAACCATCCTGGTAGATGCATTCCATAAATCCCATGGAGTGTCATGTTCGATTCGAGTAACAGACTTGTTTCGAAATGTTTGGACCAAACATGCACTTGAAATAGCATTCTATAAACCGACATGTCCTGCTGGCTTTCCTCCTGTTTTTTTTACTTGTAACTAGCCAATTCATTCTATAAAGTTAATTTTTGGGTTTTTAACCATCGAAATCTCAGATCCTTAAACTTGCCGGACCATTCCATAAATATGCCTCAGATTCATTCTATATAAAAAAGCACCCTCAGAATCATTTTATAAACCAAAATGTTTATAGAATGCGGTCAGCCACAGTCTAGGGCACATTCACGGAGGATGTTTTTTCAGGGGTTTTACCTGGACTGGCCACTTTATAGAGGCATTCTCTGTTGGGGGAGGGGGTATAAAGTGGCCAGTCCAACATAGATTTTGTTTTACTATAGATTCTGTTAACGACTTCGATATAGATATTTGTCTGGCTGTCGGTTTCGTTCGGTTTCGAAGTCATTCGAAGTCTTTTGGGTTCCCCATCGATGAGATCGATGATATTCCCCCAAAGTTTGAACGTGGCCCCTCAACTTTTATAGACAATCATGTCGATGCTTCCATCGTCGCGATTAAGAAAATCATCGCTACTACAACGATCGTTGTTTAGTAGGAAATCCACATTATAGTGCCACTGTTCGACACAAGTATTACTATCTGGATGTTCGGCATCTCACTTTATAGTCATGAGACATGTTCACAAGTACTCTCAAAAACCTACATCGAGTTTTATGTTTTTTACGCGGCCAGGCGACTTTATACAAACGTTGGATTTTGACTTTATAGACAAAACATGTTGGCTTTCCACTTTATAGACTCCAAACATGTGGCCATTCCAGTTTATACCAGGCTATTCTCTATAAAGTCGGCCGCAAAGCATCTAGCGAGCTGTACATGGGGGATAATCATATAATTTATTACTAGTTTAGTTGTTTTTGTTTGTTTTTTTTTGTGAACTGCTATAAACATATTTTTTCGCCCATGTCATCCATGTCATCCATGGCCATGGCACTTTCAGGATTGGAATCAGCTGGAGCATTGGACACATTTTGCACGGCCAGCTACAGATCAGCAGCATACTACGAATGGAAGAGGCCCGGAACGCTTCGGGGAGTGCACCTGGGACAAAACATAGAGGCGGCCCTACAAAAAAAATGCAGAAAACGAAAGTCTTGCAAAGATAGTGGGAAAATTCATGTTAAAATGTAAACTTTTTTTTTGTTGGATTCTTGAACAGAGGGGTTACTGTACTTTGACTTCATTGATGGCAGTAGAGGTGCCCCAACTTCGGGCCGCAGACGCCGAAGACGCCCGAAGACGCCGAAGACGCCCGAAGACGCCGAAGACGCCGAAGACGCCGCAGGGTTCCGAACAGGAGTTTATAAACTAACTCCAGATTGCATTTGTGTTGTTTTACTCCGACCATGTCCGACCAACCCCAAACTTGTCATTTTGATTTATCTTGAGCCATGTTTTATTTACCTCCCTCGGCCCTACAACAACACGTTCAACATATGAAGCAAATTGACCTCTCGAGTCATTTTGCTAGTCATTATTATAGATTTAGTCCCTTCTCCACACAAGACACTATGTTCAACATATGAACCAACTTGGCATCTTGAGTCATGTTTGAAATGTCTTTTCCTTCCCCCACAACAAGACAATACGTTGAACAGATGAAAAAAGTTTGCATCTTGAGTCATGATTGAAATTTGCAACTCGTCGACCCTACAATGCAATACGTTCAACATATGAAGAAAGTTGACATGTGGAGTCCTTTTTTGAAATTTATTCCCCCTGGACCCAACCAAGCAATATATACATTCTGGCCCCTACGCCAACACAACATTCAACATCGTTCAGCATGAACAAGCCATCTCGAACCATGTTTAACAGGTCCTTTCCCTGCCTTTGCAAACCAATACGTTGAATATATGAACAAAGTAGAAATTTCACGTCATCTTTATATTTTGAACTCCTCTCCTTCCCCTGAAAAACAATACCTCGAACACGCCAAAGAATGGGTTTTCGACATTTACAATTCCGTGGCCCCACACTGCAATACCTTAAACATGTGATCATAGTTGGCATTTTGGGTCATTGTTATGATTTCTTCCCCTTCCTCCTGCCCTGTACAAACCGCTACATTCAACATGTGACCCAACTTGGCATCTTGAGTCATTTTTGAAATATACCCCCCTCGACCTTTCTATATGTTGAACAAATGAAGTAAATTGTCATGTCGAGTCCGAGTCATCATTTTCTTTTGCGCTTCCGACGTTACAAAACAATATGTTGAACCAACAAAATTGTCATCTCAAGTCATTTCTAAAATTTACCCGCCCCTCGACCCTACAAGGCAATACATTCAACATATTAAACCAACTTGGCACCTTGAGTCATGTTTAAATGTGTTTTTCTTCCCCTGCATATTACTGCCTTGAATATTGAACACATTATGTCAATTTTTTGCACCCCCAAACCTCCACAAAACAATACATTTGAAAGCAGAACAAAACTTCTATCTTGAATTCTTTTTCCCCACCTGCCAGGTGAAGGTTTCTAGATTTTAACAAAGGTGCGACTCCTTCCTCTTCTTCCTCTCCTTCCTCTCCTTCTCTTCTTCCTCGCCGGCTGTGGATGCTGTGGAGCGCGGCTCGACCTGAGTGCCATGCCGCGAGATCACGATGCCTGGACCCGACAGCCATATCGCGCGCCCAGGAGGCTGTGGAGCGCGCCTGGACCCGAACAAACAGAATGGCAGAATATACGTCAGATGCAATGCCAGAAAAAATGTCAGATAGAATATCAGAATATATTTGCCATAAATACTTCCAGATGGTATGTCGTAAACTATGTCAGAACATATAGCGCGTAAGAGAGGGGAATAAATTTACCTCCCATCAGCCCTGCAAAGTAAGAGGTTCAACATATATTATATGAACAGTTGACACATTTAGTTATATAGATTTTCAAACACATCCCCTACAAGGCATTCAACATGTAAACGAACCCGGCATCTTGAATCATGTTGAACATGTCTTTTCCTTCCTCACAAAACAACACGTTGAATTTATGAACAAAGTCAAAAGTGTTGATTTATTTTCACATATTTCAGCCCCCTACCCTACCCTACAAAACAATACGCTGAACAGACGAAGAAAATTAGCATGTCGAGTCAATTTTGTGATTTACCACCCATCGACCCTACCAGATAATATGTTGAACTTATGGAAAAAGTTGACTGGCTGATTTTTTCTGATCGGTTTACCTCATCAAAACACTACGTTTAACATAGTTGAACATATGAACCAACGTAGCATCTTGAGTTGCGTTTAAAATATATTTTCCTCCCTTGCAAAGCAACACGTTGACTATGAACACAGATGAAGGGTTAAGTCAGTTCATTTTTTTAATGCCTCCCCCCGCCACAAAACAATATGAATGTTGAACACATGAAACAAATTAAGATCTTGAGCCCCCCTGACCTTACCATGAAGTTGACATGTTGAGTCGAGTCATTGCTACAAACTTGCCCGCCTGTCCCCTACAAAACACTACGTCCGTTCAACATTAGAGCTAACTTGGCATCTCGAGTCATGATTCAAATGTCATTTCCTTCCCCTTCAACAAAACATTACGTTGAACAAATTAAGACAATTCATCTTGAGTCATTTTTGAAAGTTACGACCCCCCGACCCTACACAGCAGTACGGTCAACATGTAAAGAAAATTGGCATATTGAGTCATTTTGTAGATTTCGTCACTGTCCTCTTGAAAGCACTACGTTCAACATATGAACCAACGTGGCATCCTGAGTCATGTTCAAAAAGTATTCTTTATTCCTCAAAAATCAATACGTTGAATATACGTATGGACAAAGTTGAAATGTTGATTTGTCTTGAAGCATTTCACCCCCCTCCCTTTCCAATTCATACATTGAACACATGAAGAAAAATTGCATCTTGAGTCATTTTGCAATTTACAGCCCCTCGACTGACCCTACAAAATAAAACCTTTTGCATACCGAGAAAGCTTACATGTCGCGTCAGTTTTCAAATTGACCCTTCTCGACCCTACAAAGAAAATAGTTGAACATTTTGGAATTTTACCAACACCTTGACCCTACAAATCAATACATTCAACATATGGATCAAGTTGACATGTTGATTCATTCTTTTGGATTTACCTGGCCTGTCCCCTACAAAACATTATGTTTAAATATGTTTAACGTATGAATCAGCATGGCATCTTGACTTATGTTAAAATGTTCATTGCCTTCCCCTACAACAAAACCATACATTGAACACATGAAAAAAAGGAATCTTGAGTCATTTTTGAAAATTACGGCCCATCGACCCTACAAAACAACACGTTGAACATATGGAGAGATTTCGCATGTCGAGTGATGCTTGGGATTTCCGTCCCTTCGACCCTGCCAGACAAATGGTTTAAGGTATGAAGAAAGTTGCCATGCGGAGTCATTTTTTAAATCTACATCTCCTCGACCCTACCTAGCTAGCACCCCCTTCAACAAATGAACAAACTTGGCATGTTGAGTCATTGTTAAAGGTCTACTCCCCTCTGCCCTACAAAAATATACGTTCAAAGTCGTTCAACAAACAAACCAGTTTGGCATCTTGAGACGTGTTTAACATGTCCTTTCCCATGCAAGTCAGAACCTTGAAGATAGGAACAAAGTTGAAACGTTAAGTCATCTTTTGTCACCCGCCCTCCCCCACAAAAGCAATATCTTGAACACATGGGGGCAATTCTCAGCTTGAGTCATTTCTGAATTTATATGTTTTTCATTTTTTTCAATTTATTCCCTTTTTTCGGTCCTACAAAGCAATATGTTCAACGTTGGAAGAAAGTTGACACGTGGAATCGTTGTTGCGAATTTACCCCCCTCGACCCTACAAAACAATACGTTCATTGTATGCGGAAAGTTACCACGTGGTGTCATTTTGAAAAATTTCCCCCCCTCGAACCTTCAAAACCATACGGTTGATTCAACATATGAAGAAAGTTGACATGTTGAGTCAATGCTATAGATTTATCTTCCGGCCCCCTACAAAACACTTTGTTCGACATATGAACCGACTTGGCATTCTGAGTCATGTTTGAAATGTCTTTACCTTCCCCTACAACAAAGCAAGACGTTGAACGAACAAAATTGGAACCTCGAGTCATGTTTGGAATCTACGCCCACTGGACCATACACAGCAATACATTCAACATATGGATCAAGTTGACATGTTGATTCATCCTTTTGGATTTACCTGCCCTGTCCCCTACGAAACGCTATGTTTAGTGTATGAACCAGCATGGCATCTTTACTTATGTCAAAATGTTCCTTGCCTTCCCCTACAACAAGACAATACGTTGAACACATGGAAATACAGGCATCTTGAGTCATTTTTCAAATTTACATTCCCTCGACCCTACAATCCAATACGGCCAAAAAACGGTGAAAGTTGACACGTCGAGTTATTCTTAAAATTTAGCCCCCCTCGACCCTACAAAGCAAACGGTTGAACACGTGCAGAAAATTGACATGTGGGGTTATTTTGCAATTTATAACCTCTCGTCGACTTTACAAAATACAAAGCAGTACCTGTAATATATGAACAAAGTTGACATGTTGAGTCGTTGTTTTGAAGTTTGAATGTACTCCGTCCATCTCCCCCCATCCCTTTCAAAACGCTACGCTCAACATATCAACCAATTTGGAATCTTGAGTCATTGTTATGTTTTTTCCCCGCTGTCCCCTACCAAAACACTACGTTCAACATATAAAACAACTTGTCACCATGAACCATGTTTAAGGTGTCTTTTCCTTCCCCTGGAAATTATTACGTTGAATATATGAACAAAATGAAATGTAATCATTCTTATCTTCGTTAATTCCTTCTCCTACAGCAAGCCAATATGTTGAACATGTGAAGAACATTGGCATCTTGAGCCATTTTTGAAACTTATCTCCCTCGACCCTACAAAGCAATAGGTTTAGCATATGAGTCGTTGTTATAGATTTAACATGTTTTAACATGATTTAACCCCTTCGACCTCACAAAGCAATACGCTCAACAGAATATGTGGGGTAAATTGTTGAAATTTCCCGCCCATCCACCCTACAAACCAATACGTTCAACACACGAACAAAGGTCAGAGACAAGGGCGTCAAAGCGGACAAAGATCTTCTGTGGCAGTGGGTCAGGGGTCGTCAGGGGTCGTCCGGGGCCGTCAGGGGTCGTCGGGGGTCGTCAGGAGTCATCAGGGGTCCAGGGGTCGCCAGGGGTCCGTCAGGGGTCGTCAGGGGTCGTCAGGGGTCGTCAGGAGTCGTCAGGGGTCGTCGGGGTCGTCAGGGGTCATCGGCAGATTCTGGATCGAGGTCGTCAGGGTCGTCAGAGATCGTCAGCTGAAATTGGACAACTGTTGTTGCCATCTCTGCTTTGAGTTTCAAACGAATTGTTTGATACTTTTTGAACAAGACTGAGTAACTGGTTACAGTAGGAACCAGCCTCACTAATGGTCAGGGTGAGTGGGCCCACGTGGCTGTATCCAGTGGTAGAAAAACAAACACACGTAGCAGAAAGGCACACCAGTTCAATATATCAAGAAATGTCACCGTTTCATAGTCTATGTACCTCTGGTAAATTAACAATTAGACCCCGAAAATCCCCTATTTTTAGTGGAAAAGAATTTTCAAACCCTTCTCTGGCAGGGTCAATGTGAATTTACTGGAGGGTAAGATGTGTAAGATGAAGAGGTGTGTGTGTGTGTGTGTAATGATCAGCCACAAGCAGTCCATGTCAGTCCCAAAGAGTCGCATGGGATTTTCATGGATTTTCTGACCAACATCCTTCGGCAATGGGTGTTGCATGTAGTATGTTGCAGTCATCAAGCAACAATAACAAGGGGTCCACTGGTTAAAATATGTTAAAATATGTGGTTTACAAATGCTTACTGTATCATACTGTATCTATAAATCCAATGTAAATGTATTTGATTATGTAATTTCCAACCAACTATTTCTCATATTTGATTGGAAATTGTGATAAGGAAAGTCACTTATGCAACCATGTTTGCTCGCCCATTGACCACGTGGTTGGACATTTCCTTGCAGACTTGGACGTGTGGCAAACCTATGGATCCTATTTCCTATGGCAAACGATGGCAAAGCTAACGTGGGAAATTTTTGGGGTAAAGATGACGCATATCGTTAGAAAGTGTTGTTTTATCTGAGGAGTGTTTTATCTATCCTGGAGTATGGATATAAATCATAATTGAAGCAATCCAACATAGCAATTGAAGGGATGATATTCTCGGATTTACCGAGTCTGCATATAGGTCATGTTAGGGCTGCATATTTGTATTGCATGAACCTTGAATCCGTTTTCCCTCTGCCCCAAAGACCAATACGGAACCCACCAAAAATATACAAAAATAAGACCTTTGACTTTGATAGATGCATTCCTTAAGTCCAGGGGTGCCAGCTTTGGTAGTTTCATTCTTGATCATGTTTGGTTTGTTCAACAGATTGGGTCAATTATGATAGATACATCTACATCTAATTAGTTAATGGAGTTTTTAAACCAATCAACATACGGGGGTCACAACCTTGCAATGACATATCTGCGACATATGACCATTTTATTATACTTCGAAATTCATGATTTTGGGGATCCTCCATTTTAAGCAACCACCATATTGTGTGCGATTGCTTGGCCTCCCATTGCCTTGGCAGGTTCACACAGTGCTGGAAGCGGCTGTTCGAGCGGTGTGTCGGTCTCACAAAAATGCACCTGGGCGGCACTGGGAATGAGTCTATAAGAGGTTCAATGTGGTGCTCTCCTCCAATTGTAAGCCATTGTAAGTTGATTTCTAACCCAATTAACTACATATAAATAAATACGTATCTACCGTAAGTCCTAGTTATTAGTTATTGGAGTTTTAAACCAACTTAGCTGTCTTGGGGGCACCACCTTGTTGTTCTGATGGCTATGAAAATACCTCTGGTAAAATCACGAATTTTATCGGAAACTAATGTTCCAACCCCTATTTGGCAGGGTCTTTGTTGATTTACTAGAGGGCAACGATTTATGGTGGTTTAGCCAACAAAAGAGATACGCTTCGTCTGCAATAATCTGCAAGATACCCCCCATTCCATCCACAAGAGTTCATCATCCCTATTGGGCACTGCAACACCATTTTCAGACACCCCAAAACCATATTCTTAGCCGATTCTTAGCATTCCAGTGTATTAACTGTGATATATGTATATCTATGAATATTGTTACAATATATATATATATATATCTCTCTCCCTATTCTATTATATACCAATGTATTCACAATGTTCCAAATTATATACCCCATCTTCCAACTGATACCCCTCCAATATTTCAAGTCATATCATGTAATGTCAATCCCGGATTCCTAAACCATGGTTGATTAATTAGGGGTGTATTCCCCAAATTGTGAGAATCTGATACTTAAATGGTACCCCCCAATTAAACAGCTTAGGGCTTTATTAATCCAGGGTTGACATTACTCATGTTTTTTCTTCCAAGTTATACACCCAATTTTCCACATGATACTTCCCCAATTTTTCCAGTTATTTGATGTACATAATTGAAGAACAACCGTATTATATACATATATCATCAATAACAATTGCATTATCAATCTTCATGTATTATGATACCCCCCTGTCCAAATGATACCCTCAATATTTTCAGAGTTTTCATTTTTTCAGTTTCAATGAACTAGCTATAAACCCATTCACTAGTTCGTGAAATATCCCCCTAATCAGCCTTAACGTTAACCACCTGAACTCCGCGTCAACTCTGCGTTTTCAGCCAGGCCACTTTGAAACACATCTATAGTGGTGGATACCCCAAAATTGCCCGCCGGGCTTGGAAGGAAGGCGCGGCGGTTCAAAAGCTGGTGGGGATGGTTTATTGAGTTTACTACATGAGATGTTGAACCATATATATATAATTATTTAGACAGATAGCTGATACATATATGTTTAAATTGAGTGTTTTGATAATATTAAAATGCGTCAGTGATTCTCATGATTTTGTCAGGAAAAAAACAGATGTTCCAGAAATAATCATGGCCAGGCTCAGTGGTGGTTTGTCTCTTTTGAACCAAGAGGGACTTGATCGTTGATAAGTTGACTCAGAGTTCACTTGGAAAAACTTTTGGGTTGATTAGGGGGATCTATTTTTCACTCACTAGTTGACTCATGGGTTCATGAACCAAGACCTAAGGACCTAGGCCTCAGATCATTCAGATCGGCATCCCGAGGATTCCGAAAATGTTTGGCCACACCTACTGTGTAGTTCTGCCTCGTCTGAAGATATACGATTGTGATATCACCCATTATACCGGTGATATACCCAACTGTATTTAAAATATAATACATATCCCCTACTGTGATACTGTGTATAGTATAAAATGGATCCACTTCTGAAGACTTTGGAGAAAAGTGTTGGAGAAAAGCATTGAAAACAGCTCAGATATTTTACAAACAACAAAACAATTCATTCCGTTGGGAAAGATCTGGTAACGCCCAGGAGCTCCGCCCTTGAAACTAGGAATTAGCCATAGAATGGTAAGAACCATGGGAGACTGACTATAGAAACCATATGAAAACATATGAAACCATTTGAAACCATGGGATTTCGTATGAAATTTGTCTTTCCCTAGACATCCAATTGGTACAAGAGCATGGTCGCTGTAATGGAACATTGGAAAGGTAACAAAAAACAGGGACGCCCTAGCGGTTTCGGCCTTGCACTTATCTCTCACTGGCCTTGATGATTTCTCAAGCGCTACCAACTGGGCTCCCCCCACACGATGCAGGCAAGACCATTTCAGAATGCATCCAGCGTCATGTTCCTTGGATGTTTCAGGATTGCCAGGATGGTTTGTTCGGACTCGTACATGGGTTTCATCCTAGTAATCCCATTTAGCAGGTGAATCCCAAATGAATCCCGATATGAGCAGTGTCAAAAAAAACAATTGGTCTATTGTTAATGCTGGGGTTCTACTCTTCTTCTTCTTCTTGCGTGCCATAGGTATGGTTTGTGAAAAACGGATGTGAAACTAACTTAGAGAGGCAGGTGCCATACCCGTAGGCTCCCCGCAGCATCGTTGCCCCTCAGTACAGGAACTCCTTGAAGTAGAACTATAGATTAGTTCGACTTAGTTACGATGTGGGGTTCTACTCACCTGTTGAAAAGGGATCATTATAATCCAATATCCCATAATAATTATTATCATATTATCCCATTCACTATTGGGACAATTATCCATGATAATCCCACCATTATACATTTGATATTCCAAAAACTATCCCATACTATATCCCACCATACTTGGGTGCATCCATTATCACATTATCATGATTATCCCGATTATATATTCACATTCCATGAGTAATCATGATAATCCAATATTAATCCATATTTTCCCATGGATGTATCCCACTTATTCTTGATTTCCACACGAATCCCTATATGAGCAGAGTTGAAATTCGCAGTGTCAAAACACATTCTCCCATATATGTTCAGATTATTTTTCCATATGTTCAACCATTCACATCCTAGCATATTCCATTGGCTACCCTCTGGTAGTCACTCACATAAATTGCTCTGGATAAGCATCATTTTTATGATGTAAATCAAGGCCATATCCAATAGCAAACTGTTTGTTCACCAGGATACATCCATATACATCCCATCCCAAGGCTGGTGACTTCATCACCCACGAACTTTCCGTGGCGGTGCACGACCAAAACGTCGACGTGGCCTCAGCCGTCCGCGCAGCGCAGGCCGCGGCAGAGCTCCGCGCGGAAAAAACCGCGGCCACGGAAAAAGCCGCGGCCATGGAAGGCCATGGGACATGGTGTTTTCATGGGATTGACATGGGATGTACCATCTGGTAATTTAACGTAGCTATGGAAAATCATCATTTTTAATAAGTAGATCAACTATAAATGGGCCATTTTCGTAGCTATGTTAAATGACCAGAGGGTAATCGAGAATCTCTAGTAACCCCCAAAAAAGATGACATGTTAAGTGTTTCCAGGAGGGTACTTCGATGGTTCCCTGATAAGAACTCCAGGTGTTCAACTGTTCAACTGTCCTATCTTTTTGGAGGAAAACCCTCCACTTGGTCATGAATAAACATGGTTTCTATAGGGATGTGCGGTTTATCAGGGTGATATAATTCTATAGTAAGCCTTAAAAAAATAAAAAAAGGTTCAATGTACCGGCGTGTTTTGTTTTTCCCGTTCGCCGGTTCTCTGCATCTTGTTTGTGGTTTTATTCTTATAGGTTTACCCCATAGCTGTTCTGGGGCTTTGGGGCACAAAGGCCACCCTTGGCCCAAAAAGGCCACCCTTGGCCAGTGATGATTGTGGAATGGAGTTTGGCCCAACCCATATATCTGAATACCTAGTATATATATATATACATTTATATATAAGTTAGATACAATATATTATACCTACATATATATATATATACACCCTCTGGTTATTTAATGTACTAGTAGCTATGGAGAATTACCATGTTTAAAGGCAAATTATCAAAGATCATCTATAAATTGGCCATGTTCTATAGCTATGTTAAATAGCCAGAGGCGACGCTGGGGATCATGCCTGCCCTGGAGGGATTTTCTGCAACGGAAAGAGTATACCTGTTTGGCAAAGAATGTTGAGAGGTTGGAAACCAAAAAATGGAGGGGGGTTCATGGGAAAAATGGTGGTTAAATGTCAACAAATGGGGATTTTATGGATTTTCATGGAATTTCACGGGAATTGACCCGGTGGTCAAATAGCATAGCTATGAACAAGCATCATTGGGCAGGTAAATCTCGTAAATGCGCCATGTTGGCCATAAGCAATCCCGACCAAAGCTCCATCAGACACAGTAAAAGGCCTTAAGCAATTTTGGCCAGAAGATGATTATGCTGATGCTTACAAACTTCCAGTTTTGATCAGCTATAAACATGAGAATACAGTTATGTATGGTTATGTTATGTTGTGTTATGTTCTGTTTATAATTTGGATAAACTATAAACGTGAAAATACGGTTATGTTATGTTGTGTTCTGTTATTTTTTGGTTTTGCTAAACTATAACCATGCCTTTTCACACAACACATGCCCTGGTATAACACCAACCAACCAGCATCAGACCTTCACAGGTGAACTCGAGGAGGAGGAGGAGAAGGAGGAGGAGGTATCATGGTGGCAGTTCGCCTCTGGTTTGACTGTCCAACAGCTCGAAAACGGGGATTTTACATGAGATTGGGACTAACTATAATGAAACTTGGAACGGTGTATAAAACATGATAAAACTATATACTGTATAATAAATGAAATTCGGATTATCGTGGAAATATATGTGTTTTACCAGTGTTTCATGAAATTGGAATGGGCAATTTTACTAAGAATTACAAGTGGTAGATATAACATGATACAACCAGGATTTCTGGTGGATATATCTATGACCAGGATCCAAGATGGGGTGAATGGGTACCCTCCAGTACGTAGCTATCGACAATCACCGAACTCAATATGTCATCACCGAACTCAATGGACCGTTTTCCATAGTTTTGTTCAATGAGCAGAGGGTAAGAAGTTTTTTTTTATGGGAAGTTGATTTATGTTTCCTAAGTTGGATTCGACACAGTTCCAATCTCTGTTCAGTTGAGAAGGTAGATGTACTATACAATGATGTACATAGAAGTAGTTCACGCGGGACGTGGGTAACATAAACCAACAAACATAACTGAAAACGGACCCGAAACTTCGAAGACAGACTGATTGTTGTGCCATGTTTGCTGGTAGCAAGTGGTTGCACGCTGGATAACCCCGCCAGTTACACTAGACATAAATTGACTGAGTTCAGGGATTATTGCAAACGCCAAGATTTTTTTTGGACAGGAAATTTCGGAAATAGAAACCAGATGTTCAACTTTTCGACCTTGTTGGCTTTTTGATCCATGCTTAAATTGTTGATTCTGGGCTTCAGATTGCCCCAAGTTGGAATGTCCCACCCATATTTTCCCACTCAAGCTCTCAAGAAAATCGTCAACATCACCAGGGGGACCACCTGTTGGGTCCTTCCAATGAGCCGATGGAGACCTGTAGGTCAACCTTCCATCACCTCCCGGAGCCAAGCGGGCGAAGGTGATGACCCATGGGGATGGTGACATATGGTGACTATGGCAGCTTTACACCACTTTATGAAAATGAAAAAAAAGGGGCCCTGACCCACCAACGGCAAGCTTGGTTTCAATGGCAACACAACCTTGCTTCCCGCATGGTCTCGAAACCTGGCTGGGACAATCCCCTGAACTTAGTAGATGGTGACTAGCTGGTGCACATCACAATCTGACTTTCCAATTCTTGTGTCGCGAATCGCAACTCGTAGGTGGTGAACAATCCTGGCGTTCACTCCTTTTTTGAAGGCTATGCCAGTTCAAAATGTACAATTATCGATTCATGATGATTAAGCGGTTACCATTTCTGGTGTGCAGATCCAAAGACCAACCACTGCCAACTAATCAAGTACCCATGTAGGCTATGTGAAATTATCATTTGAATTCATTTGACTAATATGTATGTACATATGTGTATATATATAATTATATATAAAAGGTATACATGATTTTATACATGTATGTAACATATCATGAACACATATGTGTATATATATATAGTTATAGTGTTCAATCACATGTTGTCTCACTCCCCGTGATTCCTGGTGAAATTATGATATTTGTTGGCAACATTCCTGTTGTTGTAGCGCTCCATACCCAGCAGAACCCCATGTTCTTCTCAAACGAACATTTTTGTTGGTACTTGTATCAGCAGATATTGTCAAACCCCACTTCTGGGGTTTTATCTCCACGTTTTGCTGACTCGGATTTACTGAGGATGCTTTTGATATATACTTAATATACTTCATGTTCTCAGATTCTGAGCTTAATCCTGCATTTATGGAATGAAAACGAGAATAGTTCTTCTGTGTAGTGATTGCAATGGTCCCCGAATCACAAAAAACTCAGGCAAAGTATATCAAAATAAAATCAACTGATGCTCGAATCATATTAAATCCACATTTCAAATGGGCAAAGCCCCCGCTGCCCGCAGGTTCTCCTGCTCCCCCGCCGGTGGCCACGGCCGCGCCGTCCATCGCGGCGGAATCGTGCGGCTGTGAACATGGAGGACGACACGTTGTTCGAAAGAGAGGTAGAAGATGAGGCAGTTTCGGAGTGGTTGGTCATCAAACCATATGAGGGTTTCCTAAAATGTGGCATACCCCTAGATCATCTATTTTCAACGGATTTTCCATTATAAACCATCTATTTTCAAGGAAGCCCCCATATGTTGTTTGGTGGTTAGATGTGGTCATTAATCACTGCTACTGTGCGGTTATTAACCAACAAACCTTAGTTGATAAGCCTCTACAACACAATCTCTTATGAGATAGTCATTCCCCTAGGGCAAACATACAAAATTATGTGGAAAACCATAGTTTCCTGTTCGGAAAAGTAGTCTGCAAGTGGCGGCTTTTCAACATGTATGCTAAATCACTGTAGGGTAACCATCTGTTAATGTGAGTTATAGACCTACAAACCTTAGTTGATAACCCATTTCAAAACATGTTCGGAGCATTGCTGGGGAGTTCAATATGACAACTGTGGTCATTGTTTGGTCATTGCTTACCTAGACCCTGAAGTGATATTATCCGAATATCAAACAGCATAGTTCTTAGTAATCAATGACAATAATATGTACATTATATAATATATATAATTAGTTATTATTATTGTTATTAGTTTTTTTTATTATTTATTATTATTTGTTATTGTTTATTATTATTACTATTAGTATTAGTATTTATTCTTATGTCGTTGTTTTTGTTATATCCGTTTGATGTTGCTCATACTTGCCCCAGTAACATGTATACAGGGTTGATGAATCACTCCCCATGTCAACGCCCCAATATGTTTTGTGGGTGTTGACCTCATCCACAGGTGGATGTGGAGAAGCAAGTTTGGGATCTGCGAAAAGGATGCTGGGGCTTATTTGGGAGGATCCCGTTTGGGTGCACTGGGCCACTTATGGATGCTGTGGGATACTCGCACAATCAGATAGAAACTAAGACATAATATGGATGAGTACTTGGATGTGCACTCAGTAACTGGATACTTCATGGGATAATCCTTCTGAATATCTGAATATGTTTGTGATTGTTTGCTATGAACAAGCGAGTAAATCTTTAGCCGTGCCTCACGGAGTTGAAGGCATGCATTGTTGGGGATAAGTGCTCCAGCAATCACCATACACTGACTGTAGATCATAGATAAATACAAGAAATTAGACAGACTGTTTAAAAACTACAGAAAAAACTGCCTATTTCCCGTCATTTTTTCAAAGATAGCTTTATAACCTCCATTTTCTTTTCACAACCAATAGGCCGGCTGCCGAAAAGTTGGACCAACCCTGGCTGCTGGAAGTGACTGGACTGGTAAACTAACATAGCTATTGAACACGGCCATAGAAATAGTTGATTTACCAATCAAAAATAGTTATGTTAGTTTACCAGAGGGTATATATTCGTGGGTAAATGTTCATCAGGACCTCACTGTTCTCACTGGAATTATGCTTAGTAATTTGCCGGGAACTCATTTCCATTGCCGAATTATTCAGGTTATAGTGAAACATTTACATATATGTTCCCAGTAATACATAGTTATTACATAAATAGATATAAATAGTATTTACATGTATTTGTCTGGTAATACTTAGTATTTACCCATTAACTGTGTATGACCCAGTTACTAATAATGTTCCGAATATTTACTGTACCCATTCATACATAGTAATTACCATCGTTATAGTTAATAGTTATTTACCATAGGTATTTACCATATATTACCCATAATTTTCACCCAGTGTTTACCCATTCATATATATATAACATAGTCATATTTACCATTGACCATAGTTATTAGTTACATTATTCATATAATAGTAATGGTAATACTAATGGTAAATGGTATACTAAGGCTAGGGTTATACAAACTATAGTAAATAAGTAATCATATCACCATAGTCATCATATTTAGCATAGTTACTAGTTGTATTTGCCATATATATATATACACATATATTCCATAGTTAGTATTACCCATTAATATTTACCACTGTCACAGGGGAGATGTTTCACAAGAGTACCCCAAGGGTAGCCCTCCAGAAATGAAGCATGACGGGCGTCCTGGGGCTCCACCAGATGGTTTCCTAAAACAGCCGTAACCAATCTGCTGGTTTATATATATATTATACACGATCATGTAAATATAGCTAAAACTATAATTATATATATATACATAATATAATATATATATATACATGATTATATGTATATACATATATATATATATACACATGAATATATATATATATATACATGTAAATATTATGTATTTATATATAGTCATATATATATATATTTACATTCTGTGTAATTTATGGGATATCGAAGCAACTATGAAAACTTGGTTTATATACCCAGTCCTTTCAGGATGGGAATGCTCAATTCACTTTCATAGGGATTTGGATCAACCCATCTTGTTTTGTCGCTACAAGGTGAGACACCGCAGTCATGTCTACCCAAGCAGCCTCCTTCGTAACAGGCATTATGCATTATATGGGCTTATATATATATAGATAGATATATATATATATGTATAGATATATATATAATATATTTATATATATTGATATTGAGCCTCCTCGGACTTTCCTGCCTTGGTTTGTCTTTTCCTTAACCAAGTGAAATGCGCGTCAACTTTGTTATCGTTCGAGGCCCTCTCCTTGTAACACAAATGGATACATATGGTACCACATGCCAGCGTCAGGATCCAATTGTTTATCATCATGGAATCATGTATTTCCCATGGGTTTCCATAAATCAGGATGAATCACCGTTTTCAGACACCCCAAAGATCAGATTCTTGTTTATGTCATATGCCCATGAAATGGTATAGGTTCTTGTATATCATATCCCCATGATATTTCCATTGTATCCCCGTACCAAAAAAGTGGAACATCTCTCATCTCTTAAGATGCGGCGTTGGTGTCACCAAGCAACTGAGGATATAAGAGACTGGAGGGCAACTCGACCGTATCTGTAGTGAGCTTGATGATTTCCATTAAAAAAATCAAACGTGGCAATGGAAAATCCCTTATAATTATTGTAAATGGAGGTTCTAACGGGGAAGTCATCTGTAAATGGAGGATTTTTGATTGCCAAGTCTCTCATTTCCAGAGGGTATCAAAGAACAAACTCCATTTGAGCAGTGTTCAAAGGCCCTGTTGGTTGATGATTTCAGAAGATGATACTATCCAGTATATTGGGGACTATCACTATGAATTATATACAGGAATCCTGCTGTTGGTTTGTGAACCAACAGCGGCCCATGTTTGAGGACACCGTAGGCTAAGGACGAATCAGTTTATGTTCGACGCAATCATGTTGAGTCCACCGTTCTCGTTAGTCAAGTTCACCTTATTCTGTGTTTCGGGCTGGGTATCACCGGTACAACCACAGTAATTGGACCAAGTATTTAGTCTGAAAAATGGATGCTTTGCGATTGTGCTTTCCCGAAAACCAATCCGTTGATAGTTTCATTTTCCCAGATTTGAATCATAATTATTTTTGTTCTTAAGGCATTGTTTGGGGCCTCGCTTGAAATCCTGATTGAAGCCACAAAATGTGGAGGGGTCATGTTTGACTAATTTCCTCGAGTCAAACCACGAATACCCCAAGAATCCCCACAATCCGTTGGTTTATGATTGTGGTTTACGTTATACCCCATGATTTGGTAATAATCCCCACAATAATTCATTAATCGCATGATCATTTTCCCCATAACCATTACAATGGGGTTAACCGTATACCTGATTTCTTGGAACCAAGTCTGTTGGCCCATCATTGGAGACCAGCACTGGAAATGACGAGGGATCAAACCTAAAGCATATGGAGGTTTCCTGAAATGTGGATACCCCCAAATCATCCGAAACTAGATCATTTTAGCATTGTTTTGGGGATCCCCATTTTCAGAAACCACCATATAAACCAAGTTTCATGGGAACAGGCAAGAGCTTGGTCAGCTTATAAACATTGCCATCCCTCAAAACGGGATATTTCGTCCCCAAATGACTGCGGATGGCTCCACTAATCCATGGTGTTGCTTAAGACTTCAGAGGAGAAACAAACCATCTACCGACAGCTACGGGCCGCAGGTCATGTTCTGGTTCGCTGTCGAGTGGTGTTTGATGTTCGTCTTATTGGAGAGAATGCTCCAGTTGACGAAATCTTTCAACTGAATTTCAAGGAACAAACCATTTGTTTTCTGGTTGGTGGTTTGGAACATGTGTTATGTTTCATTATTTTCCATATATTGGGAATGTCATCATCCCAAGTGACGAAGTCATATTTTTCAGAGGGGTGGCTCAACCACCAAGCAGTTTTGGTAAATGCTGATATGGCTGGAAATTTCAGGGCCAAATCCACCTTGAAAGATAGCCCAGATTTAGGGGGAGTGGCTGGGACAAGTCAAACTGGGATTCTGCATTTCTGTGTTTAGTTCTACATCCCTATCACTGTTGACTTTTTTTAAAAAAGATGACATGACTGCTACACGTGTTCGTATTTAGGATGTAGTTAATACAAACTGCAGGTGGATTATTTTAGGTGTTGTTTGTTCAATTGCGAATGTCACCTACATGTACTCCGAAAAGCGCATATTCATGCAGCCCAGTACAGCAACACCTTGGATGGTATGGATTTGTGTCCAAGTTGCGTACTTGGAGGATCATCCCACTTAGTTGGTTAATATCCCTGATTGATATTTTCTTAAACCAGGGTTGTGTTCGATGTATCACAGGCTAGTAGCCCTACTTCCTACAAGGTCGTGCCCAGAAAAGGATGCTGGGGCACCACCTTGTAACTGGGCATATACCTGCTGATAGAGTAACATAGATGTGGTTCTCACCCACACTATTTGTAGGTCATTTCCTACAAAAATCCATTGGTTACTACGTCTTTTGAATGACAGCACCGGGCACCCAGCGCTGAGGGATTTCTTCGTTCCTTTCCGAGGTAAGATGGCCGTCATGCTCAGACGCATGACGGAGGTGTCTGACTCTTGGCGTCTTTGCTTCGTCCCAAAAGGGCGGGTCCTAAAAAATTGGGGCACCCCCAAATCCTCCATCATAAGATTTTCCATTAACCATACATTTTGGGAATTCCCATGGAAATCTCCATACGTTTAGCCCCAAACAGATAGAACAATTATGTAGTGACTGAGCCCCACACGGATTTTACAAACTTCGTTTTTTTGGGTGGATCACTGTGTGTTGTATGTATTATATATATAATATGATATCAATTAATGGGCCAAATTAGTATAATTATCGCGATATATAACCAACTATAAGGAACACTTGCTGATTGCAATACCAAGTCTTTTGGGGGATGGGACTCAATCTTCATGGGGATTCAAATTTAGATTGACATGTGCCGGAAAGATGATTACTGTCACCGATGGATACCGATGGAATGTTATTACCCAACATGTTCAACGAAATCCAAATATCCCAAAATATCCCAGAAGTATCCCATAATATCCCAAAATATTCCAAAATATCCCAGAAGTATCCCATAATATCCAAAAATATTCCAAAATATCCCAGAAGTATCCCAAAATATCCCAGAATAATTCAAAATATCCCAGAATATCCCAAAATATTTTAGAATAATTCAAAATATCCCAGAATAATTCAAAATATCCTAGAATATCCCAAAATATCCAAACATATCCCAGAACATCCCAAAATATCCCAGAATATCCCAAAATATTCCAACATATCCCAGAATATCCCAAAAGATCCAAACATGTCCAAACATATCCCAGAACATCCCAAAATATCCCAGAATATCCCAAAATATTCCAACATATCCCAGAATATCCCAAAAGATCCAAACATGTCCAAACATATCCCAGAACATCCCAAAATACACCAGAATATCCCAAAATATTCCAAAATATCCCAGAATATCCCAAAAGATCCAAACATGTCCAAACATATCCCAGAACATCCCAAAATACACCAGAATATCCCAAAATATTCCAACATATCCCAGAATATCCCAAAAGATCCAAACATGTCCAAACATATCCCAGAACATCCCAAAATACACCAGAATATCCCAAAATATTCCAAAATATCCCAGAATATCCCAAAAGATCCAAACATGTCCAAACATATCCCAGAACATCCCAAAATACACCAGAATATCCCAAAATATTCCAAAATATCCCAGAATATCCCAAAAGATTCCTGATGTTTGTTGTGTGAATGTCGCACTTTTGTTGCTATCCAGGATCCCTTGCTTGGCTCCAAGCCCAGCGGAGCCTTGAGAGCGGAGGCTCTTTGGAGTTCACCGAGAAATGATGTATGTCCAGTTTGGGATGTTTCTAAAATGATGTTTTGCACCCAGAAGGGCTTGACCTTTTACGGAAAGACAGCATCCCCCTTTCATCGGGCCCTGGCAGATGATCAGTGTTTTACCAACAACACACAGAGCGCACTCGGTTTCCAGTCTTTTTTAACCGAGGATTTCCACATGTACAAATCAATCTGATCAAACATCATGGCCACTGATCCACTGATCAAACATAATCAAATCTACAAGTCTATAAAGTAGATGAGACGCCTATACACAATCCACCTGAAGTTCAGCAAAATCAGTCTGCATGTTCCAATTTCATCACCAACATTGATATGGGGATTTCCTACAATGGGGGTACCCCGAAATGGATGGTTTATAATTAAAAATCCCTTGAACATAGATGATGTAGAGGTACCACCATTTTAGGAAACCTCCATATATATATATATATATACAACCAGATGATGACATGTTCAAATCCACGTCATGTGAATATTGAAAAAAGTTAGGTTCCACTGCCATTACGGCCTTTCTCGTGTCAACGCACATGCAGTCCGCCAGGTGAAGGAAGTCTTTTCAGTGCTGAATGAGATTCAGATGCAGCTGGACACGGTGCAGGTGGAATTGATCTGGGAGAGGTCCATTAGTTGTGGGGCGACATGGAAATATATGGACAAAAGAAGTCATCCTGGAGTAGATAGAATATGAGTTTTTAAAACGAATCCTCACTAAAATGTGAGCATCGTTGAAAATTCCATGTTCTACTCTAAGATGATAAGAAAACGGGAGAATAGTAGATTACATCCCAGAGATCCGCATGGCCCAGTAATGGTGGATCTATGACCTAGAGATCCGGGAGTTTGTGGCGGGCACGTGGGATTATACAGTGGAGATATAATGATCAATGGGGGTTGACCATGGGATTTACAATTGGAAAGTGGGGAGACAACGTTCGGACAAATGATTGGGGATATAGTGGGGATCTATGGGATATAGAACCAATCGGATTGTGTGCGTAACATCGGAGATTTACCACCAAAACATGGCAATCTTAGGGCAAAACATGGCTGTTTTGAGCAGATTTGGTGGGTATCCCATTGTGATTTTGGACCTCAGGTCAAGAACACATTAACATGTTTTGACGACAGCAAGGGGTTTAATGCATATACCGTACTCTCTGGTAATCTTACCTGGGAAATCTGGGAAGGGAAAATCTGGATCTGTAAATGTGTTTCACCAAATGAACAACACGCCAAACTTCAAATCCTATAGCTATGATTATCAGAGGGTGCTTCGCAGTGTGCTTCCCAGTGTATTTCACGAGGAGATTCTGGTTGGTGTCTTCAGAAATGGTTAAAGATTCTGGGCTAGTCTGGAAATGTTCTGGTTGGTGGCTTCAAATGATTAATGTGGGAAACTACATGCCATACGTAAACCTACCAGTAGTACCGCACAAGGCGGTGTCGGAAGTTTCAAAAATAGGAAACCTATAGTAGGAGAGGTTGGTGGTTGTGAATCACGGATGGCAGAGCGAATCCACTGATGGACCGACAGGTGGTTGGAGTTTTGTTTTTGGAGTGGTTGCAATGGTTGCAGTGGTCACCTCACCACAACTGTTGGATGTAGTGTGGTGTAGTGCAGTTGTAGTGTAGTGTAGTGGAATTGTAGTTGTAAGTTGTAGTTCTAATGTGATGTAATTAGTGTAGTGTAGTTGCAGTTGTAGCTGTGTTGTGGTGTAATTAGTGTAGTATATTGTAGTGTATTGCAGTGTGCTGTAGGGTTGTGTACGGTAGTGTGGTGCAGTGTAGTGTAAAGTAGTGTAGTTGTAGTTGTAGTGTATTGTAATTAGTGTAGTGTAGCGTAGTGCAATGTAGGCGTAGTTGTGATTGTAGTTGCAGTTGCAGTCGCAGTTGTAGACGCAGTGTAATGTAATCTAATTAGTGCCGCGTGGTGTTGTGGATTGTTGTGTAATGTAGTGTAGTAGTTGTAGTTGCATGTATATTTGTAGTTGTAGTGTGCTGCAGTGTAATTAGTGTAGTGTAGTGTAGTTGTAATTGTAGTTGTAGGTTTGGTAGTAGTAGTAGTAGCAGCAGCAGTAGTAGTAGTAGTTGTTGTAGTAGTAGTAGTAGTTGTTGTTGTTGTCGTATTTGTAGTTGTAGTTGTAGTTGTATTTGTAGTAGTTGTTGGAGTTGGAGTTGTAGTTGTAGTTGTAGTTGCCTGTCTACCTACCTAATCGATCTATCTATCTATCTATCTACGACCGACCGATCGATCGATCGATCTATCTATCTATCTGCAAGCTTGAAAACGCAGCTATTCTGCGAGATTTCCGCAGTTTTTGAACTTGACAACATCAAAAACGCTGCCATTCAGCGAGACTTCCTCAATTTGTGCACTTGACAACATCAAAAACGAAGCAATTCTCTGAGATTTCCTCATTTTTTAAAGTTGACAACATCAAAAACGAAGCAATTCGGCGAGACTTCCTTCAAAAATGGAAAGTTGAGTGCAGAGCTGACGGCCTCGTACCAATGCGTTTTGCGATTTTTTGACTCCACCTATCTAAACTACTGCGCCTGCCACGAAAAAGTGATACCGGGTCATGCGAAGTGCTGCCCGGACCTCCCAACAGCTCTGATGAACATGTCTCTTGCACAGCGCCTACCACGGAAAATGCATCTTTGCAGATCCTCTTCAAATGTCCCACGCCTGCCATCGTTTTTGGAAATGCCACGCAACCCTGACGTTTTGCTCATTTTTGGCAAGGTGCACACTCCCGTGCGCCTGCCGCGCGAAACAACATCTGAACGTCCAAAAGTGGTCCCAGCATGTGGTGTTTTTCACATTTTGACTTCGAAATGTGCTTCGCGCCACAATGGTGTGCACTTTCTCAACATCTCAACTTCCAAAAGTGGTCCGGAGTTGGTGTGTTTTATACATTTTGACTTCGACATGTGCTTCGCGCCACAATCGCGTGCACTTTTTCGACATCGCAACTTCCAAAAGTGGTCCGGACCTGGTGTGTCTTGTACATTTTGACTTAGAAATGTGCTTCGTGCCACAACGGCGTGCAATTTTTCATCTCTCATCTGGCCAGCTGGCTCCGCACCCGCCGCTTTAGCGAGCCTACTTTTCGACCCTCCGGAGCCACAAATCATTGGAACAACACAGCCTTTTCGCGCACCTGGATCTTCTTTCTTCTGAGACCTTCTCTTTTCTGATCTTCTTTCTTCTGCTCTTCTCTTCTCTGACTCTTCCCATCTCTGCTTTTCATCTGTCCATATTGTCGGAAGTTTGACTTCTAAACTACTTCCTTCGACCATGTGGGAACGGCTGCAAAACAACCGATAAACATATTTTTTGGGGATGTTATTCGGTGTCCACATTATGTATTGTATTTTCATGTATTTTCCACCCTATATCATGCTATTTTCATTGACAAGACTAGGTTTGGATTGAGTTGAAACCACTAAGCAGATGTGTGTATGTATATATATATACGCGCAATAAAAATGCATTGCAATAAATTAACATACTAAAAAAAAAAACGCAAAATTATAAGCCCATTGAAGCTGCCCCCTTCCCAGCATCTTTTTTCATGCCCGTGCGAGCCAGGTGGACCACATTTCAGCCGAAAGGATCACGTCATGGATCGTTTCCGTGCAAAATCTCTGGAGTAAAGCCGATGTAAAGGTGGGGTGGAAACACACAAGGATGGGATGGACTAGACTCTACAACTTCATTTTATGTTATAAACGGATGTGTATATATATATAATTATATATATATTGTTTTTATTATTGTTATTTATTTTTTTATTATTCATATTTACTATTATTATTTTATTTGTTTGTGTATATATATATGTATATGTATGTATGATTATATATATATATATGTTTATATATATATGACTATTTATTTATATATGATTTTATATATATATATATTCGTATATATATATTATATGTTTTGAATATATTTATATATACATGAACTTATATATATATATTTGATTGTATATTTATTTGAGTATATATATATATTGTTTTTTATGCATCTATATATATATATACAAACCAACTCAAGGACCTTGGGATAAACAGTGATAAACACACATTGAAATCAGAAAACATGTGGATTCACAAATTTGCCAAGAGTTTTGCAAGGTTCTATACCTACCATGGCCAAAATCTTTGGGTAGGCTCTCAACCCAAACGTTCGCTCTAGCTTGGCGCAGAAAAACATGCATCGAGCGTATCAATGTAAAGCAGACAGATGCAACAGGGTGTAGCAGGGCGCAAGGTGAGTTTTACTTGTTCTTGCTGGGACTACACAAACTTGAATAGCTAGCGCCATCAGTAGGATTATGTCCCCATTTTGAATTCAGTTGTTTAGTGATGTCCAATGTGGCTAGGGCTAGGGCTTAAAGTTGGCTCATCAACGGACATGAAAGAAAATTGCTCATTGTGAGTATTGAAGCATCCATTTTTTGCAGGGTTGATCTTTTTCATGAAACAACCATGTCATCCAAAGGCATCGCTAATTGAGTTTAAAAATGATTGCTGATTGCTATTGCAATATTGTAAGCATGTTTTCCATATGTTCCATATGTGTCCATTTGTGATGACTCATGACGGTTTTAGGGGTTACGAACAGCCCATCCTAAGAATAGTTCGTGACCTGGCATTGCTTGTCAAAAACAAGTTCCAAACTGAGATCAGCGACAATTCCACATGCGGAATGCTGGTCGAAATTGACATTATTTGCGTTTCAAAAAAAACATGTTATGTTGGCTGGTAAAATTGACATACCAATTTAGAAAATGATGAAGAGTGACAGTGGTATGTTGATTATGTTGGCTGGTTATTTTTCGCACAATGTTTGTTGATTGAGTCCTTTTTTGCGATGAAATCTGAGGTACCCGTGGTGGTTCAATCCGCATTTTTGAAGCCTATGACCCACCATTGTTGGGTAAATACTAACAAAAAGCCACCTGCATTTTTCAGAGGGCCAACAAACCGATTTAAACATGATTTCGCTAGTTGCCTTCTGACATGTGTGGACATATATAATTCCCATGCTTGTTTTGCTGAGTTCTCTCAAGTAGATTAACGTGAATACGGAAAATCCACCAGACATGTAGATTTTTTTGGTGTTTTGTCGGTTTAGTTCACATATAATATCCCACATATCCCCACATTACATACATCATTCATTGGATACATCCTTTTTTGTTGCTGGTTACCCCTGATTGTTGCTGGTTGAAAACATCATCCAATTACTGTAATGTTGAGGTAATTAGTAAGCAGCCAATAGCCATGATTTAGTATTTGTCCATATTTTGTCCCCATACAAGTTGTTTAAACATTTCTACAGCATTACGTTTATTGGGACGATACTGTACACCACTTTACCAACCATTTATATTGCATCATACACCATATTACGTCCATATTGCCACATTG